TGAATGGTGAATTCTAGCAGGCAGTGGTCACTGTCGCCCAGGGGGTCAAGCACCCGCAGCCCCCTCACCAGGTCGTCGCCCGTGGCCAACACCAAGTCCAACAAGGCATCCCCCCTGGTGGGGCTGTGCACCTCCTGGGTTAGATGAAGGTCCTGGACTCTCTCCAAGAACCTGCGTGATACAGTATACTTTATTAGGACATGGAGTAAACAGTACTATAAGATTAGCATAAAGTTTTGGAAATGATTGGCACCATTTTACTTTGTGTCTGAAGATAGGCACAGTCATTAAACTAACTGTGCACAAGGACTGAAAACCAGGATCAATACCTTCTCTATAGCTCATAATGTCATGCTTCTAAGGACCAATATCTCACAACTTGCCAGAGATAGAAATTTGGCTGCTTGGAAACTGTTGATTGACTGTGGGTACCCAAAAGGGACTTCATTTCCAGGGAATACTTAATACTTGCTGCAAACAATGTTTTTGGCAATGTCTGAAACTGCCCAAAATTAAGTCACCTATAGTCACTAGTCACTTTTGGAAGCTCTACCCAAAATTTTTCCTGATTAGAAATGTGCAAGGGAAGAGTGAGGCAGGGGAGGAATTATAACACATTTCCAATAGGATAAAATTCTGATTCTTTGCACCCATCACAAATCTAGTACTGACTGCTGCTTGCCAACTGGCCAACACGGTTTAGGGGGAAATGTCACCTTTGGTAAGGAGCAAAAAAAAATGTAATGTGACAAGGAAGTCTGTGGTCTCACTGAAAGCTGCTTAGCTATTCTGAATGTTAGAAATAGTCTTGATGGTGATAGCTGAGAAGTCAGACTGCAGGTGACATGTGAAAGGCACAAGATAACTGCACACTACCATATGGCAATGTTACTTATCATCATCACTGATGTGCTGTAACTGTTAAGAGATGCAGCTGAGCAAAAAGCTGGATCTCAAAATCTCCAAAAGTTGTATATGAGATGAAAGAACCATCCTCAAAGTCTAGAGTAAGACCCTAACGTCCCCACATTTCAGGGAAGCATGTGGTTTGGATTCATGATTTGTGTGTGAAGCATCTACGCTACATAAACTCTCTTTATAGCTACACATGCCAACTATGTCATTAAACATTTATGCAGCTACAGACACTCTTGGGGTTACAGCTAGACTTTTGAAGGCCCTTGCATCTCCCGCCTCAAACAGGGCCCCATCTTGGCAAGTTCTGGCAATACCCACCCCCTCCACATACCCCTGCCACTCACACACTGTCCACAGCCCCCTCAGACAATCCCCAATCCCTGGCTCTCCAAGCACCACTCCCCATAGATTTATGTGTATCCAGCTACCAGGGCTGCTCCCACCACCCTGCCTGGATGTATGCTGGTCATGTGCATGTGTGCATGCGCACAAACGTGGCAACCCTGCCTCCAAACACCCTTCCCCTGCTCCCTCCAGCCCCAAGCAGCATCTTGAAGGCCTGCCAAGGGGAACCCACAGTTTCCCTGCCATTTACTCCTTCACAGAAGAAAATCTGCATGTGTGTTTTTCTCCTTCAAATGTCAAAATTCACATTTTTCCACACCAAATGAAAGACCCCAGATCCCTGTTAATCTGCTACATTAACAAGATACCTCTCTGGAGGCTAAATACCTGGAAAAACTATATAACAACCAGC